TCCTGTGCATTAGTACGAATTAGAATATTAATTAGAAGTATTTTACGTGCACCTCTGCTTCCTGTGTTCACTGTGACGCTCCCACGTGCAGCATGGCTTTATGAGTTGCCAGGGCAGCTGGTCTGCATGATGTGACTCCTCACTCATTGTTGACCAGAGCACGACGCACAAACGATTACTTTTCCAGTGTCTGACGGTGCGATACTGCTGAATATCCCTGTACGTCTAGCTGGTGTTATCTTTACCTGTTTTTTTAATGTTTGTTTTTTTACGTGCTTCCTAGTGGTCACCTGGCTTCTGTCTTGTAAAGGGATTCTTTACTTTCAGGTCCTGTCCTTGTGTGTCTGGTGCACTGCTTCCTCGGCTTTTTGACACCACAGATTGAGAGACTAATGACTTTAATATATTAATAGTTCTATTAATACTCGTTTATGTAACTGCGTAAATCTTGTGAAGTACCTTTATTTAAGAAACAGCATTCTGAGGGACTAGCAAAAACTCCTTTGTTTTAAAGGCCCAGAGATTGTGAGCTTGTGGCTCCAGTTTGCCTCCTTCCTGGTGCAGATGGTCCCAGCATGACCTTTCACAACTTATAAAACCCAAATACTCTGGACACCTCTGTGCTCCTGTTGCGTCACACTGTGTCCTTGACGTACTTTAAAGTGTTTTCTGTTTAAATTGAACAAATCTGTCACAGAGAGGACTGATTATATATTTATTTGTCATTTTGAAGACAGCCTTTAAAATATTTTTCTCTTTAATCACTTTTTTAAGTTATTATTTGCCAACAGTGCCGCTTTGTGTAATTATATCTGTGCATTAAAACGTTGTTTGTGTGTTTAATCATCCATCTGTGATGCGTATGTATCTGTGATTCCTTTCTTTGCCTTTTCAGCACCAGTTCTTGTCTGAAGCTCTGCAGTGGAGAGCCCAAATGGACCCTGACCATGTTTTATACGTGCTGCTCAATGCTAAGGTAGGCTAAACATGAGCATACAGTAAACACAAGAAACGTGCGCATACGTGCCGTGCACCATTACCTTTCTTTTACCTCGGAAATGGTGCCACTCTGTGAATGGTGATCCATTTTGTTGTATGAGATCATCTGTACCAGCACTGTTTCTGCTCTAGGGGGTAGCAGTGTGCACAGCAACTTGTGCTCAGCTACACAAGAGAGCAGAGAAAATCACAGCTACCCTGATGGAGAGAGGAGGTCTCAACACAGGAGACAACGTGGTGCTGCTTTATCCCCCGGGTATGCACGCCGTTATTATGCGTTTCACCTCTTCCTAGTTTTTCACATCAAATAATATGTAAAAGTGCTGTTGTTTAATGTAGTATTTTAACGGCGTCGTAGTTCAACCAGGTTCCCGTCTCCTCCTCCTGCAGGTATCGACCTGATAGCCGCCTTCTATGGCTGTCTCTACGCGGGGGTCATCCCTGTGACTGTGAGGCCGCCCCACCCACAGAATCTGGCTGCTACTCTCCCCACTGTCCGCATGATCATTGACGTGAGTGCACTTCACCACAGCTTTTTTTTTTTACTCGAGTATTTCCACAGTATAATGGAGTAATGTATGTGGAATTATTTGAGTACATTGAGTAGTATTTAAACTGTCTTTGTACTTATTCTACCTTGAAGAGCTATTTTAAAGTTCAACACACCAGAAGTGCTCATTTTTCATATTTTTTTCACTTAATTTTGTAATGATTTATCCAAAACTAGTAGTTCACAATGAAAACACAGTTCTGTGAGTCTTCTCTAATGCAAATACATCATTTTGTTTTGTTTTTGTTTTTAAGTGATCCACAGTCACAGCTAACTAGGGTTCCTTATTCCCAATTTCCCTGAAAATAGAGATGTTTGAATAGACAGACATAGTCCATACTGTCCTGAAATATGCATTGCTGACCTTAAAACAAATATAAAGCTTTTTTAGCCACCACTTTAATAAACTATCACATCAACAGAAGTGCCCTTCACTAATGAAATGAATACTTCTGTTGGCCACTATAACTGATTTCCCCTGGGCAAAGCAAATGAAATTGGGCTTTACTTTGGAGATCAATGAAATATCAATAACTGAATGCTTCACATTAATCTGTGGCTCTAAACGACCGCGTCTGTGCTCTGTGTCGTGTGCCACAGGTGAGCAAAGCAGCCTGCATCCTCACCACTCAGCCTCTCATGAGGATCCTCAGGTCCAGGGAGGCGGCTGCCAGCGTCAATGTCAAAACGTGGCCCACGATCATTGATACAGGTGACTGAGTTAGGAAAGCAGCTGGGCGTCGCTGCGTTTGTGCACGTCTTTAGATGCTAGCAGGTTTAGCTTGAAATAGACACTGTTTGTGCTTTGACTAACTTCAGACATGTACAGTACGGTTTCAGTTATTTTAAGCTCTCATTTCTGAAGATAAGAGTGTTGCAGTGAGTTAAAAATAAAAGTATGGATTTTTAACATGTGCACTGAAAGGATAAAATTACGTGTGCAATGATATCACCTTCCCTTTCAACCAGACTATTATCAGACTGTAGCATTAAGAGCAAGATGTATTAGCAAGAAGTATTTGATTTATTTTGTACAATAAAGACATAACATAAATTCACTTCGCTCGCATTACAGATGATCTTCCAAGAAAGCGGCCTCCACACATCTACAAACCTCCTACAGCTGAGATGCTGGCCTATCTGGACTTCAGTGTGTCCACCACAGGCATGCTGACTGGAGTCAAGGTAGATTACTCCCACAAATCCTGTATATACTCCAAAAATAATCATAACAAACGAACAGAAATGACTGTGATTTCATTTATTTTTTTTAATATGACTTTCTTTAGCCAGAAAATGTTTAATTTTCTGCTTCTGTGTCTCCTCTTGGATGTTTGACCTTTACTCAACTGGTCTAGTTCAGTATATTGACAACAGAATTATGACACGGAGATTAAATATTTTCATATCTACACAGACGTGGCCAAAAATATTTGGTAGTTGCACAAATTGTCTATTTGACATACTTTGTTTGTTTTTATGATATAGTGAAGGACATTTGTGCAGTTAAAATGACATTCAAAATTTTTTATTGGTTAATAAGTCAAATTTATGCCTACAGTCAGTATTTACAGTGTGTTGACATTTTGGGATGCTGACTGTCCGTCTCCTAAGCTGATTCACTGCCTCATCGGTATTGAGGTTGATTTGTTTGTGGGCTTCTGCTTATTCACACACTTGTTTTAGGGCTGACCATAGATTCTTGATCGCATCGATTCTTGTCCGTGGCTCTGAAATGTTAATTTGATGATCTCAGAGCCACTAAGTTATCGCTTTTGCATTGAGACGTGGTGCTGGAGACATCCATCATGCTGTAAAATGCACAAAGCATTAAAGTGCTCCTTTGGTGGAGGAAGAAGTTATTCTCTGAGGAAGCTTTTAGTGTGGTCAGGCAGAAGCCCACAAACTGCAGTCAGCTTCGAGCATTGCTAAAGCGGGAATTGGCCCAGAAGCTGATGTCCAACTTGCCACAGAGAACAGCAGAACTTATTAGAAGAAGGACCTCTAAATACTGTTTGCATAAATCTGATTTATTTGCCAATAAAAGTTGTTGAGCCTGTTGATTTTAATGAGGTTAAAAGACATGTAAGAAATGGTTAATTTAGATCAGATTTTATATACAACAAAGGAGTGGAGATATTGAAGGTATATAAGTTTAAATACCTGGGGGTAAACCATGCAAAGCAAGAAGGAGATGTGAAGATGAGAGTGCAGGCAGGGTAGAGTGGGTGGAGATGAGTGGCAGGGGTGATTTGTGACAGAAGGATAACAGCAAGAGTGAAAGAAAAGGTTTACAAGATAGCAGAGGGACCTGCTGTGATGTGTGGTTTGGAGATGGAGCTGAAGGTGTCGTGATTACATCAGAGGGAAGCTCAGACTGAGATGGTCTGGACATGTACACAGGAGGGAGAGTGGATGTAGTGAGCAAAGGATGTTGAAGGTCGAGCTGCTAGGCATGAGGAAAAGAGGAAGACCTCACAGGAAGTTCATGGATATTGTGAAGGGGGACTTGC